AAGTAATTAATGATTAGATAAAAAAGAACGTGCACAAATTCTACTAGGTCACTGCTTTATAAAGTTAAGGGTCAGGGGATGTGTGCGTCTTTGGGACTCTGCATTTATTTTTATTCTGATTTGTCAAATGATGAGACTGAAGGCCCGACCTGTGTCTGTCCAGCCTTAGAATCTATTATTTGGGGTTGGTTTTGGTTTTTTAAAATTTTTTAAAATTGTGATTTTAATGAAAGTTTACAGAAAAGTTGGTTTTCTTTTTTTTTAAAAAGTTGGTTTTCATTCATTAATTGTTGCACGTTTCCTCCCTACCCACCTAGTTTAAAAAAATCATTCACTGTTGCATAATTTCCTCCCTCTCCCCCCATCCCTCTCCCCGTCTACTTTGCTATGCACCTCTTATTCTGGACTTCTGTCTAATCTATTGTTTTATGCATAGATTCTCAGTACTTTCGTTCAGAATAGACACAAGGGCACTCAGGGGCTCTTGTCAATGGGTTTACAAATAGCAGGAACTTTCAAAAAGCCCGTTTCTCCCACTTTAATGAAGTCATTTCATTTCCCTTTTTTAGCATCAGTACAACTTATCCTGCCTCTTCTCATGGAGGTGCCAGCTCTACCTGGCAGAGAGGGGTGGGAGGCGTGGTCATTCAAGCAGGAATACTATCTGTTGAGGACAAAGATTCACGGGTGAATGCAGAGGGCTCCGGAGGCTTGGGGATCCCCACAGAGATGGGTGTAGTCCTCTCGGGAATGAGAGACGGAGAGCTGTGGTCAGAGGGGGAATTTTGCAGTGTGGCTTCTCAGAGGTGGAACTATTCTGAGTGACTCGGAGGGTTGAGATGGCCACAGCTGTGCACAACTACTGGAACACAGTGTGTGCCTCAGGTGTTTTGTGTGCTCAACCTCCTGCATGTGGTTTTTTAACAACCCTGTGAAGTAGCTAACTACCTCTGGTGTAATTGTGGGTTACGTGTTGAACAGCAAACTGAAAAGACTGGATGTTCAAATCCAGTCTGCTCTGCAGAAAACTGGGCTGTCTGCTTCTGTGAAGATTTATAACCTTGGAAACTGATGGAAGAACTGCTATGAGCTGGAATGGACTCAATGGTAGTGAGTTTAGCTTTTGGTCTTAGTATGAAGAGGCTTGCTGGCGGCCTAGAGAAGGCCTTGAAGCTACTCAGAGGTTGGAGTCAGGGTTTGAACCCTGGAGATGCATGCGCACAGCTTGGAACTACTGAGCTACTGTACTGTTTTACCTCATGAGGGAAGACCGGATAAGGTGTGAGACAATGGAGTTGGAAATCAGTGGCCTTGGAAAGTGGAGGGGACTCTAAATGTGTGTGTATGTGGGTATGTAGAACACTGAGGTCCCTGGGGCAGGAAAGATGTCATGAAGAAGTGGAGGTGATTCTGGGTAGGCAGTGTTAATGAGTGTGCGTGTAATAGCACGTCCCTGGGTGGGAAGGATTACATTGTGAAGTGGAGGTGGTTCTTAGTGTACCCAAAAATATGTCTATGTGTGTATGTATATGTGTATGTGTGTGTGTCCACAGATGGATGGGGCTTAGCCATGGCCTCCAGATGGTCCCACTGTTCTAAGGCCACATGAGCATGACACTGGGACATAGGCTGGGCTAATCCTAGATGTTAACAGAACTGGAGGTGGAAGATTGCTGAAGTGGTATTAAAGGGGAATGCAGCAATGATTTCAAGAACAGGCAGACCTTTGAAGGAATCCTTGTCTACCTGCTTTGGACTTTGTTTGAATAATAACATCTTCTCTAAGTTCCTGGGTGGTGTAAATGGGTTAATGTGCTTGGCTGCTAACCAGAAGGTTCAAGTCCACTCTGAAGAATCTCAGAAGAAAGGCCTGGCATCTCTTCTGAAATGATCAGCCGTCAAAACCCGTCCGGAACACACAGCTGCTCTAACAAATGTGGGGTTTCCATGAAGCAGAATCAGCTTGTTGGCAACTGCAACCACCACCACCACGATGACGCCAAAACCAAGGAAACAGTGCTAACCTTAATTAACCCAGCTGCTACAGGGAACCTTCCAGCAACTGACTTTTTTTTTATTTTAGGAAAATGAAAAAGGAGTGGGGTGGGGGGCAAGGATTTGTTCAAACAAAATTAACTTCCATGTTTTATCTTGGGGACCAGTGTGCATGTGGGCCCTTCTCTACACCTTTCTATCTGTATAGTTGTATGTTCTTCTATTAAGACCCATGTTTCCCATGAGCCTAACTGACCTGATTACACGGTTTGAGTCAACAAATATCTACTGAATCTTAAATGCTACATAATATTCAAAATCATAAAGTGGCATAGTACATTAAATATGCTGCACTAACCAGAAGGTTGGTGGTTTGAATCCACCAGCTGCTCCTCAGAGAAAAACGGCCAACCTCCTTCCTGTTAGATTCCAGTTCGTTTAGAAACCCAGTGGTGTCACCATGAGTGGGCTGGATTTGGCTGATGTAATGGTTAAGCATCTACAGTGTTACTACGAGTCGGATGCCACAAAAGAACTATAATAACTGGGATGCAAGGATTCCTGGTTTCACAAAGGCTTGGGTGATTCAAACTCACCAGTGGCTTCAGAGGAGAAAAAACGTGGCAATCTACGCCTAGAAAGCCTAGAAAACCCTACGCAGCAGTTTTACTCATCATATAGTCACTACAAGTTGGAATTAACTCAACAGCACACAACATTAACTATAAAATCCAGGATATAAAAGTACCTTAAACATGGTCTTTGTCTCTAAAGAATTTTCAGTATCTGGGAGAGGTTTCATTTATCTTTAGGATGATGGTGCCAAGCTGAAGTAGGACATTTTCAATATGTTTTAGGCCACAAGGGTATTCAAGGTTAACTCCCTGTTCGCCCAAGAGTCCCATCTTTTTGAACAGCCCATGTTTTGAAGTTTCATGTGATCACATCTAGTCCTTAAGAACTGGGTATGCTTCCCAGGACTGCGTTTTATGCAGGTCATGCAGGTTACAAGGACAGTTGTGTCTGAAAGGCATAGGTAAGAGTGGTTCTAGAAAACAGATGATGTTCTGGCAGCTCCTCCTCCCCCTTTAAAGGATCTCTGGAAGTGTGCAGCATATTGGTCTGCTAATTAATAGGTCAGCAATATGAATCCATCCGCTGCTCCTTAGGAGACAGGTGGGTAGTTGCCTTTCATAAAGATTTGCAGCCTTGGTAACCGAGTGGAGCGTGGCTTTGAGGCAGATGTGACTTGATGGTAGTGGGTTTGATTTCCTACCTTAAGGAGCTCTGACTATGACATCTGTCCACTAATGAAAGGGCTACAGTGCAGACCCCCAGGTCTTCTGAGGTGGGACCATGTGGCAGTCTTCTTTAAAGATCAAAGACCTTGGAAACCCTGTGGGACAGTCTAGTCTGTCCTTCAGGGCCACTACGAGTTGGAGTCAGTTAGACAGCAGAGGGTGGAGTTGGTTTGGTTTTTTTCAGCCTTTGCAGCATCAAAAATAAATGCTAAGAAGTCACCAAAAGGCCTGCTTTTGAATCTTAATTAACATTCCCTTAGAGTCCAATATCCTATAATTTTATAGGACTTCACAGTTTTCTTGGGATGAACACTTAGCTGCTAAATGAAAGGTAGGGTTTAAGTTCCCTCAGAGGCACACTGGAAGAAGGCCTGGTAATCCATTCCTGAAAAATCGGCCACTGAAAAACCGGGGAAGCCCAGCTTGACTTCGACATTTATGGGGTCGTGATGAGTAAGAGCTGATGTGGTAAGTGATTTGGTTTCCAGGCTTGTTTATTTCCAAGGTTTTAACAGTTTTGTGAACTCCTGCCTCCTACGATTCTGCCATCTCTCTCCCTTAAAACACCATCCTGTCCTCACTTTAAGAAGTCCACAGGATTTTGTAACTACTCCAGAAACTACAGGCTGGTAGCTTGTGAGACTGTGTTAAAAGAAAAAAAAAAATCCAGGCTGCAATGAACACCTTTCAATTCATAGTCGTAATTTAAAAATCCTATTTCCCATTACAAGTCTGGATTTCTTTCTTGTTAAAATATCAGACCTGAGCATGTGTTCTCACAGTTGCCAGGGGCCTGAATGGAAGTCTTGGCCGCTCTCTTTCTCTTCCGTAAAATGAAGGGAGGCTTGAATCACCATCCATGGTTGCTTCCTTCGTTGATGTTCCTTCATCTATGCTGTGTCAGGACTGAGATATCAAGAGACAAAAGTCACGGGTGTCTTTACTTGGTCCATGGCATTCACTGCCTAGTTCTCCAAAGGTGTGTTATCAGTTGTAAACAGATCAGTGACATGTTCTTGATTTACCCTTTTTTGCTCTTGCCTCCCTGCCACATTACGGAAGTAAGTGATGGACATAGGGTGGACGTGTTCCCCTCTGCATACACTCTTCCTTCTGGGCAGGTCTGTGTCCCCTAGAGTGAATTTCTGCCCTCAATGTGGAACATTTGGGATGAGCTTGCGCCCTCCCTGGTATGGCACGGTCATTTCCCTGCATCAAGGAACCTGCCTTCCCCACTGACATGGGACTCTGCTCACTCACTAGCAGAATACCCCAACCTTTATCTTTAGGGAACTGGCTGTTACTGCTGTTTGGTGCCAAAGCAATGATACTGTCACATTTAGTGTCAAATGGTGATGTGATATTGTCACTTTTCGTTTCAAAGGTGACTGTGTTTCAAAAGATGGCAAGTGATATTTGGAATCCAATTGGGGGAAAGTACTGGATTCTCTGAGGGAGAGATTCTGGGTTATTACTAGTGTGATAAAGACTCCTGGGGACTGTTAATGGACTAAAGGTCCGCAGAGCCGCAGCCTGGTGGAGTTTCAGTTTGGAGTGCACTCCAAGTGTCCTCCACTGCTTGCATGAGCCGTGAAAAAGTCTGGAAAATTCCACTGAGCGGTTAAAAAGTAGGAGACAGTGGGGGGAGGGGGACCACAAGGAGTGCTGTTGCGGCTTCCGGAGTGAAGGGTTTTCTGTTTCCAGGCACCCCCTGGCCACCTTTTTCCACTTGTTCTTCCGAGTCAGTGCCATTGTTACCTACATATGCTGTGACTGGTTCAGCAAGAGTTTTGTGGGCTGCTTTGTCACTGTGCTGCTCCTTCTGTCCTTGGACTTCTGGTCCGTGAAGGTAAGATGCCGTCTCACCTGGGACACCTTTGTTCCCAAGAATGTTGCTTTGCTTCTGGAGGGTGACTGTGTCTTTACAAGGGATAAACAATGTGCGACCAAGAGAACTCTGGTTTAGACTGCTGATACATATTTAAGAATACTCAATCAGCTTCTAGTAAAATTAGCAGGGGGGAAAAATGACATTGCTCAGTTTGTAATAGGTGCCCTGGTGGTGTAGTGGGTTACATGTGGAGCTGCTAACTAGAAGGTAGGAAGTTCGAATCCACTAGTCACTCCTTTCTCAGTATTCACAACTTCAGAGACCTGAGGGAGGGTCACCATGAATCATAACTGACTAAAAGGTAGTAAAGAATGGTTCTGGTAGTGTGTTGGGAATTAACTGTCATGGCTTCAGGTATGTAACATAATGAGTATGGCAACTGCATATAGCTTTGGCTTTGCTTTTTTTAAAAAAAATACTTAAATGAATATTTAAAGCATGTTGTTGTGTATGACTGAGTCGGAACTGCCTCAGCTCACCCTCCAGTGGCAGTAATTCTCAGGAGAGGAGACTGCCCCTCATCCTCTCACAGACCATCTGGTGGATTTGAACCATGGGCTTTTGGGTTGGCAGTGTAACTCCTTACCACCAATATTTGACATATAAATTACATATACATGTATCTATCTATCCATCCATCCTGAGGTGGCACTTAAGCACATAATTACTAATTGAAAAGTGAGCAGTTCAAACCCACCCAGAGGACCCTAGAAGAACAACTTGGTGATCTGCTTCCTAATGGTCAGACCTGAAACCCCTACTGAACACAGCTCTTTCCTGACACACAAGCAGTTGCCAGGAGACAAGACTAATGGCAACTAGTTTATTTATTATATAGCATATAAACAAAATGTTGGGGCTGTCACTTTTTTTTGGGGGGGGCTGTCACTTTTTAAAGTTGTTGTTGTTGATTGCCTTCGAGTCAAGCACGACTCATAGCGACCCTATGAACAAAAGGCCTGAAGCCCCTCTACAACTATCGACATTTATCAGAGTTTCCAGAGGCATATTTGTTTAGGAAGTGAATGCCACTCCTACTGCCTCCTGACAAGAAGCTGCAGGCACACGGTTCGAATCCACCAGCTGCTCTGCGGGAGAGGGAAGAGCAGTCTCCTCCCCTGTGATTAACTGTCTCTGAAAACCCACCGGAGGGTCAGCTATGGGGCGGTTCAGACCTGACAGTACACAACAATAGCAGTAATTTTTCAAGTAAGCGTAATTAAAAATCAAAAGCATAGAAAACGGATTCTACAAAATCATTACCATTCAACCCTCTTTTCTTCTTGCCCTAGTGGCCTAGTAGGTAAAGAGTTATGCGGTCAACTCAAAGGGTGCCAGTTCAAAGCCACCAGATGCTCCCTGAGAAAAAGATGGGCAATCCCCTCATGTAATTTATGGGCTCTGAAAACCTGCTGGAGGGTCAGTATAAGTTGCTTCATTCAAGGGCACCACCCCTGTTAAAAGCTTAATATTCACTGAGTTTCGTTTTGGTCATTCAGTAAGATGCTGCTGTCTATTAGGACGTACTCCCAATGTCACACTGAGGTTCCCAGTCACTGTCCCTTTTTCTCAGAATGTGACCGGAAGACTTATGGTGGGCCTTCGATGGTGGAATCAGATCGATGAAGATGGGAAAAGTCACTGGATGTTTGAAGCCAGAAAGGTACCTTCCGTCAAGAGTTGGGCTACCTAGTGCCGGCAGTGTGGGGAACGTGGCTGTGGAAAGGCTCGGTGGGTCTCCTGCCGACAGGAGCACCCTGCCGTGGGCGCGCTGGGAGGCGCATATGCAGAGAAAGCTCGCGTCCAATAAACCCAGGCGATGGCCCACTGCTTCTGGAACCATTTTCAACTTGTATTGAAAATTTAATTACTTTCTCACAACAGATCTCTTCTAATAATATTGCTGCCACAGAAGCTGAAGCTCGGATCTTCTGGCTTGGCCTCATCATTTGCCCGATGATCTGGATTGTTTTCTTTTTTAGCACCTTATTTTCCTTGAAGCTGAAGTGGCTGGTAAGACACCACCTTGAAGAGTGTGGGGGTGTGTATGCGTGTGTGTGTGTGCATTTTATTCTTCTTGTTGAGAACAGGAACCTTTGTCAGCTCAGCAGTTGCTAGAAGGGCAATTCAGTGACATCGAATCTTCGAGTTATGTAACCATTCTAACTTTCTTTTCTGAGTTGTTCCTCCGCAGTTAATGTAATCTCACTGCCTCTTTAGTTTACTATTTAATCTTTCCGGTTTGCTTCCATGTAGATAGGTCTTAAATGAGCATCATGCTCAAGGCAGACAGGGTTTACAGTTGTTTACTTGTAAACTGGTGGTTTTATGATGACTTAAGGGTGCATTTTTGGTTTAAGGTGTAAAGCTTGTCTCAGGGCTGTTTTCAGGGGTTCACCCAGCTTCTATGACTCCATGCCAACTCTAGATTCCATGAGAACTTAAATTCTGTTCTGCATCTTCCCTCTTTTGATTAGGAACCTTCTGTACAGTCTTTGATCAAAATGATACCACCCGTTTCTTTGACAGATCTGTGAATAAAACCAGTGTTGGCAGGAATTTATCATTGTTTTAAAACTTTTCTTGAGGGGTGGTGGTTACCATTATCTAATTCACATACTATACAACTCATCCATTTAAAGTGTGCAATTCCATAGTTTTTAGTATATTCAGAACTGTGCAACAGAAGTTGTCAAGCTCAAGACATTTAAACCACCTCAGAAAGAAATTCCATACCCGTCAGCAATCCCTGTCCATTCCTCCCTTCCTCCAGCCCTTGACAACCACGAATCTACTGTCTCTCAGTCTGTCTATACTGTTATTTGGAGCTGGCTGGTAGGTTCTGACTCATAGTGATTCTGTGTACAGAAAACCAAACCATGCCCAGCTCTGTGCCACCCTCACAGTTGTCCCTACGTTTGAGCCCACGATAGTTTAAGTGTCAGGTCAACTCATCGAGGGGCTTCCTTTTTTCCACTGACCTCCTTCTCTACCACATATGATGTCCTCCTCTAGGGACTGGTCCTTCCTGAGAGCAGGCTGTGTATGTGAGATGGAGTCTTGCCTGGCTGGGGAAGAACATCTCAGTGAGTGCTCTTAGAAAGTCACTCCTCGGCTTTGTCTGGTGCAGGCCCTGGTGATCGCTGGGATTTCTCTCCAAGCCGCTAACCTGTATGGCTACATCCTTTGTAAGATGGGAGGTGACAGTGACATCAGCAAAGTCACATCCAGCTTTCTGTCCCAGACAGTGTTCCAGACGGTGAGTTACGAGTCCAGCTCCGGAGCCCATCATGCTAGACTCCCAACTAACCTAGGCCCACTGGCAACTGGTTTTTCATGCTCTCCACCTCAGCCTGGCTTCTGCTGATACTTTTCAGGTATTTTTAAAGGTATCAAATCAAGGGGGGGAAAATCCACAAGTTTTTTTTTTATTTTGTTTTTCCATCAAGACCGCCTTTAGCAAATATTTCTGGATGTGAGGAACGAGTCTATAAACTTTCAGCTAGGCTAATGCTGAGGCTGGCTGTGGGCTCCCACCTCTGACCAGTGGTGCTACTTTGGACTGAGGCACTTGTGACCCACTCAGCAGGACACTGCAGGTCTGCTCTGCACCACAATGCCGCAGAATCCGCGTGCTGCCAGTCAGCACAGGAACATGGTGACTTTTCCTCCTGCAGGCCTGTCCAGGTGACCTCCCAAAGCCTGACCTTGAGGGGCTGGAGATCCACAAGCATTAGGTAAGACGGGGATCAGGGCAGGGCCTGTTCAGGGGAGCTTGGGAGGTTGATGTCCCTGAACCAAGGTGGGCCTCCTGTTTCCTGAGGCGGCAGGAATCGCAGCCAGGTCCAGGGACTCCACAGCTCGGGCCCTGTGGCTCTGCAGCCTCATCACCCACTGAGGAGGGAAGTGTCTTCCTCCCTTTTCCACGTTAGACTTGTCCACATTTGACCACACGTGGCGGGTACAAAGGAGGGGAGGGAAGGAGGACTGAGAAGAAAAGGGAGGAGTACCGAGAAAGGAGGGGATATGGAGTATGGCAGGAGGAGGGGAAAGAACAGGGGGATTTCTCCTCTCTCCACTGCTGTGCCCCAGAGAGAGATGGAAAACAGGATTCATTCTTCCCTCCACTGCTCTCAGTTCCTCTGCGGCCCTCACACACAGAGAGGATCTCATGGCACCAGGGCGACTCTAGGTTTGTGACAGTCTCTCTGATTAAAACCACCATGAATTGTTTTGTATGAGACTCAGTTACAGATGCGTAAAGAACGTTATTGCATGTTAAGCGCAGGAAATGACTGAACTGAATCTACACATATTACCATGCATGGTGTGTTCACAAGCACAAGTTCTGCTCTGGAAGGCGAATTGAGGGCTTTCCAAGAGCTATTTTGACGTCACTTGACTTCATCACATGTGCTGACCTCGGGACTCCTCCTGGGCATGAGGTGTTGACACTAGTTTATCTTTGGCTCATGTTAACCAGTGACCATGTGGACTCTGCTGCTTGAAAAATGTGTCTTTTCCACTCGGGCAATGTGTTCACCCTTCTGCTTTTTTTGTAGCTTATCTTCAGAGGCAGAAATGGCTTCGATGAAGGAGTTCTAGACACCAGCTGATTCCCTGATCCCATAACCCACATGTTTTCCATGTGAAGTAAGCCCCAGAGAGGTTTTGGAAGAGAAACTTTTTATTTTTTAAACCAGGGTATTTATCAAGAATATCCTTTACACATATTCTAAGGGAAAGTGTATAAAAATTAGATGATTAAAGTGTCTCTGAGGAACCATCTCTGGCCTGGTCCCTGCACTGTGGCTCCGCTCTGCCCAGGCTGAGTGCTCCAGCAAGGTACCTGCTTAGGTCCTGCATTTTTCCAGCCTTTCAGGAGCTGATGACCTTCTCCTCATGTGAAGGGTGAGGACTACAAAACTCTTGGATTTCTAAAGAAAAGGCAACAAGCAGAGAAGCACCATGGCTTTTCAGTCCCTCTGCTGGGAAGGCAGGATTTCTGGGTACAACTCTTAAGACGGCTGTACTCAAGGCAAATTCTGGCTGAGGTCTGAGATCTTCAGCAATGGACCTGCTAGCACACACTGCCCACCTTCAGTTATGGCACCTGCTCGGGGCCTGGGCATCAGCCCATGTTGTGTATCGAGGGTCCTAGGAGCAGCGTCACTTATCCTCAACACTGTTTTACTAGGGCCATAGAAGCTGGCCATGCAGACTTCTCTGCTGACACCTGGCCTGGAATCAGACCTTCCCAGACGAGGGCAGAATCAGGCCTGTAAGTCTGTATGTGGCTTTTATTGGTTTTTCTAACAGATGTATCAAGGTGTATTTCCCATACCATGAAACTTACATTCACTATGTTCTCTAAACAGTGAACTGGCTCCAGACACTTATCTATTTTCAGAAGATTTCTCACTCACCTTGGAGTCTTGGCCCCAGTTTCCCCCAGGCCCCCACCCGCTGCTGTCCTCGCCTATAGCTGTGTACAGATGGCCTTGTGTCCTAACTGGCAGGCAGGTGGTTCTCCCTCCACTCAGCCCTCTGCGCTGACTGGTGTCACCACCGTCTGGCCCTGTACACTCAATCACACACTTACTTTGGATTATACTTCTGTAGGCTAACGTGGCTGCTGAATCTGGGGCTTCACTGAAAAAGGACTGTCCTTTGTCACAACTCTTTCCTTAAAGAAACAAAAGAAAGATGGTTAAATCCATGACAAAACAGGGACACCGTGGCTAGTGCTCTGATGACTATCTTGTGCTAACCCCAGCTCCTTTAAGGAGACGGCTGTATGGGAGGTCAGGGTCTCCAGGTGCCCTGCCACCCACACCCACCCAACAGGGACTCCCCTCTAATACTGCAGCGCAGCTCTGATCCACACCGAGCTTGCTGCTCTTGGGGAGCCTTGGTGTCTCCTGGGTGGGAGGTGGCGGATGTAGACTCCTGGCCCTGTGGAGAAGTCTTCACTCCCGGGAGGGCCAGGAGCTTGCCTTTTAAAAACATGTATTATCAAAAGACCAAAGAGTCCTTTCTAATATAAAGCTAATAAAATCCATGTAGTATGCTTGTTCAGAACACAAAGGGATCTACTATCAACACTAAGTTCTAAAGAGGCTACTTGAGTTTGGGTGTGAGGAGAGGAGTAAGCACACACGTAACACTTAAAAGGAAATCACACGGGAACATAAAAATACACATATTCTGCCTGTGGCTTGTTTTCTTTAGAAAACTATTATCCTATCGTATTTTGGCAAAGGCAGTTTAGTTTCCCTTTAACAACAATTTCTCCACATGTTCAGTGACATCAGTTCCACTCTTCACAATGTGCGAACATTCTCATCTCTGGTCTGGCTTTTTGATTTCTAGGAATCTCAACTCCCTGCCCCTACAGTCTTGTCTTTATTTTCAAGCAATGTTGACTATTTGGTCTCATATAGGTATTTCTAAAGAGGACACACTTATGTGTGATGTTATTGAGCTAATTTGTTATTTAGCTACAAAGTGACCTTGGGGGTGAATGATGGTTCGGGGTCTGAAGGGGAGATCAGGGAGAGGGTCTCAGGGAGCCCTTCAGGCTCAACCACTCCAGTAGAACTGGGCTATGTGTGCCTAAGAAATTTGAGGTGCATTCCACGCTTTTCTTGCATGTTGGCAGGGTCCATCTGTTGCAGCCCTGACTGGAGTAGCCAGCTGTGGTAGCCAGGCACTGTCTAGCTCTGGTCTCAGGTAGGTGAGGCTGTGTGCGGTCTGGCCTCTGTGGTATATTAGTCCTGCAGATCAGTTTCTTCTATGACTGTTTGCTTTTCTCTTTTTTCTCTGAACGAGTAGAGACTGACAGTTCTATCGTAAGTGGCCACTCACAAGCTTTTAAGACCTCAAACACTATCATTAACTTAGGATCAGAACACTGCCTACTGCTTTTCTGATACACGATTGTATCTTGAAGCTATTCCTCACAGACACCTTTGGATCTTCTAGTCTTTCCCCATCCGCAGTGGCCACCTGCCCTGGGGAGGTGTAACTAGTCCCCATCTACAGATGTGCAGCTTATCTGGGGGGGGGGGAGGCAGCCAGCAGCAGGGGGAGCAGCAAACAAGGCCCTTTTTGAGAGTCTCTGCCTCAGGAGACTTTCCTCTCCTCTCCTGGCTGCTCTGCCAACCCCCAGTTCTAGACAGATGCCTCCTCAATCTGCTCTGCCTGGGCTCCCAGAAGCTGAGCGCTGCTGGAGGTGTCCCACTGCCCACTGCTGTACTCCCTTGTGGACCCTGATGAGGTGAACTCTGCAGTCATTACTCCCTTCCTCCCAACGGTGCTGCCTGTGGGACAGGTGCCCCTGAGGAAGGGAAGGCTCCAGAGAGGGAGATGAAAGAGGCATCCCAGATGAGGCCGGGATCCCTAGGGAACACGGCAGGATGAGCTAGGGAAGTCCAGACATTCGCATTGGGTAGTGCTTGGAGGCCAGCAGTCCCTCGACAGTTTTATAAAGGTCACTTTGTTCTTCAGGCTGCCCCCGTGTTCTCTGAATGGCAGTTACCTGCTCTGACAAATCCCAGCTGCAGGCCTGGTCACTGTGAAAACTGCTGCATGTCTGTCACCCTTGACTGAGGAAAGCTGTAGATGACCTGTGGTTTTAGTATTTTTTTGGGGGGGGAACCATACACCACAGAAGTATTTTTGAATGTGGGAGCAGAGGGGATATTAGATACACCCTCTTCATGAATAGGTTGTCCAGGTCACCTGCTGGGATGATTCTCATAATTCCCCACTTCCTCAAAGCAGGCATCCCCCTGGCCGTAGTCTTGCTCTCTCTTAACTACAGTCACCTTTACAGCCTCAAGTCTTCTTACAAAGGCTGTGACCCTCCACTGCTGGCCACTCTCCTTTCCTGAATACGCTGTTCAAATCAAGGCCTCACTCATCTCTTGGTTGGAGCAATCACCCTTTCTGACAGCACCCCTTCTGTGTCCACTGTTTCTGTGAGAGATGATCCAGAGATGTATGATGGACGTCACAGACCGCTTGACATCTCTCTCCTGTCATCAGAGTCTGCCAAGTTTACCTGTAGTGTTTGTCCCTGCCTCTCACACCAACATCCTGAGCTCGGCTCAGGTCCTGACCTCACAACATGACCCTCCTCTCCTGCCAGACCCCACATATAGTTGGCTTCCCAGCTTCCTCCTCCTTCACCCCACCCCCTGGTGCCCAGGCTTATAAATCTGTTTCTCATTCCCTATCAAACCAAGCTGGAGTGTGAAGGCTTGAGACAGAGCTGGGTACACTAGGTCCTGGCCACTGTCCAGCTGCTGCTCCAACACCCTGGAATCTCCACTAAACATGACTTTCTAACTCTCTGTGCAAGGAGCCGTGTTACAGGCAGGCAGAGCTGATGTAAGTGCACTGATGCCATCCTGGGGAAACAAACTCTGCATACAGCAAGTCTACAGCCTGGGGTCATGCGGAGACAGGACGGGATCAAGTGATACTGGTTCTTCAAGAGAGTCAGGCCATACTGGCCGAGTGCTCACAGAGAATGACCTGTCTCAGCACTGGAGACAAGGGTCCATGCTGTCTTCCAAGTGGCAGGACCCCCTAGCTTATTCCCTGCCAGCCACTGCCTCCTCCCTAAGGTTTCCCAGCTCCCTGGTTACATGTTCATGTGTTCAGCTGAGCCTATGTGACAGCAGCAACACAGCTGGCCTCCCTGGGAGGTGATCTGTAGGGTCAGCTCCTGGAAGGTGGAGTCTGTCCAACACTTGGTTATGCCTTCTCGGTGCCCACATCCTTGCCAGACTGCGGTGGCAGATTAGAGAACAAAGGCCCCAATGGCGGCAGCAGATCAGGTCACATGTGCAGACTCACCTATTTGGGGATCCAGAGGCACTTTGCCGAGGAGAGGGATCTTCAGGTCCTGGCACATGGCCTCCGCGCCGCCAGTCGTCGGAGGGAAAATCTGTGATTCTTTCTGGAAAGCAAGTTACAAAGGGAGGCAAGACAGCCTTGCGTTTCAGGACCATGCCATGGACCGCATTTTAAAGGAACTTACAAGCCACAACTTATTTGGAATGTGCAACGGCTAACCACCTGAAGGATTTTCACTTGTTCCTAAGAAAAGTCCCATTCTAATGTGACTACACTTCCTGAAGGGACTGAGAAAACAGAGAGGCCTTCACAGCTTCCCGCACTGTTCCCAGGCATGAACAAAGTACTTCTGTTTAGGGCTTGCTCCCACCTTACACTTGGGGCAGATGAAGCTGCTCATGTTCTCCACGACCCCGACAATGGGCAGCTTCACCTTGTGGCAGAAGTTGATTTCTTTCCGGACATCCTGGAGTGATACTTCCTGTCAAGGTTGAGGGGTAGAGAGGGAAAAAGAGAGACCATCTTAGGAGAATGATGCAGGATAGGGCAAGGTCCAGACCTGTGGTTTAGAGGGTTGCTGTAAGTCATAGTTGACTTGAAGGCACCTAGTAACTGCATTCCAAAGCCAAAGTGTAGTCTCTCCCCGTGGATTCACCAGCCTTCATGGCTCGGTCTCTGTGTGAATGGTCGAGGCAAGAGCGAGGCGGCTCTGAGGAAGGCCCAGGAGCCATAGCGGCTTGTCCAGGAACCCCTGTCTACACCCAGGGCTAGTTCTCTTGAGACTGGAGAAGCTTTCCAAATCATTCTGGAAGTGAGTGGGAGCAGCACTGTTTATTCATGGGGACACCTAAGTGGGACACAGGAGCCATCTAAGTGACAGCAGCACCCATGGTTCTACTAGCTTTGTGAGGGGCAATGGAAATGAGGGCAATCTTGAACCATAACTGTCTAGTTTGGGGACGGTGCCAAAATACTGGTGCTAATGATACTTGGCTAACAACCAAAAAGGCTGGTAGTTCAAACCTATCCAATGGCTCTGCTGGAGAAAGATCTAGAGGTCTGCTTTCATTAAGAGACTCCAGCCTGGGAAACCCTCACGGGCTGGTCTTCTGTCACACGTGGTCACTATGAGCTGGAATTATCTCAGCAGCACCTAACAACAACAACAAGGAAGCTAATCTGTCAGAAGCAAATCTCTGAATCAGGGAACAAGATCTTGGCAGAAGGTTTATGCAGGTCTCGTAGGTGCTGCTGAGCAGGAGTGGCTCTAAGTCTCCAGGAGGCCAGGTCTCAGGACCACACAGTGAAGAACCATCGAGAAGCTGCAGATATCCTGAACCCAACTGTAAGACCCGGGCTCACCTGGGGCGTGGTGATGATGACAGCTCCGTCAATGTGCGTCCCCGACAGATACTGAACAACAGAGAGGTGCTCATCAGACGTCCCTGGTGGCGTGTCCACGAGGAGGTAGTCGATCTCCCCCCAGTCCACATCTCGGAGGAACTGCTTGATCAGGCCTAGAGGGAAAGGTCAGAGGGCAAACTGCTTTTGTTCTTCCCTGAACCTTTCAAACAGCATGGCTTGTGGTCTTCACTTGTGCTTAGTCGAGGCTTAAATCAGTAGTTCTCAAGGAGGGTGATTTGCCCGCAGGAGCTAATGGCACAGTCTGGAGACATTTCTGATTGCCATGTCTGAGGGTGAAAGGTGCACTCTGGCACCTAACAGGTAGAGAGCACAGCTGCTGCTAAGAGCGTCATAACACAGAGAAAAGTCCCCATACAAAGAATTTTCTTGCCTGGAATGTCAGTAGTGAAAGAGCTGAGAACTCTAGATGAAAGTACATCTTTGGCTATTAAGTCTCTATGGCAAATCAAGCCACTATTGGTATCATCTCACCCATTTCTCTCTCAGATACAAATAAGACAACATAAAACAGTAACACTAACTTGTAATTATTGGTTTCTCCTGTATGGACCAAAAAGAGAGTGAAGAAAATCAACACCTTTACACAGGTGCAATTAGTCCAAAAGACTAACTTACCATACAAACATCAACCTCCACTACACTGAGAACAGAAGAATTGGATGGTGCCTGGTTAACCACTGCTGACCAGTGTAAAAGGGATCACTGGATCGTTAGAGGGCCATGGGCAGAAGGGGAGGAAAATGTGGAACATGCTTCAAAATTACAAAAACGGCCAGGCTTCCTTGACTATTAGACTAGTAAAACCCCTGAGACACCAGCTAACTAAGCTCACACCTGTGGCTCAACTTTTTGTCAAATAATAATGGGCCTATAAAGTGAATGGTAATACTAGGAATGTCCCTAACAACCAGACACGATCAAAAGGGGAATATTTATTCAGGGACAAAGCTCAGAAGGCATGAAGAGACAGATGGAAAGATGAACGGAAAGTAAGAATCAGAGGGAGGAAATGGAAGACGTGCTATAACACCGTGAGCACTGTAATTACTGTCAGAAAACATAATATGCATGAATGGCTGAAATGAAAACAATTTTCTCTATACATTCATTCAAAGCACAACAATAAGTAATAAAAAAAAAAACCACCCTAAACTAAAAAAACCTCAATAAAAGCAATTTTAGGGTTGTGAAAATTCTAAGGACAGGAAGGTCATAATTAGTATTGAAGACTGTAAGATGCACCCTGGCATTTATATTAGCTCTCCTCCATTCGTGAAGAAAGAGGTAAGTCACACACTCCGGGGAGGTCAGCAGGAGCCAGCTGCCACCTTGACAGCACAGGATGCAGAGCCTTGGAGAACCCCAACAGAGAAAAGCGCGATGACTAACCGTTTTTCTTTGGTCCCCTCCAGATCACAGCGTCATCGGGGCTGCTGAGCAAGAAGCCCACTGACATCACAGCCAGGTTGTCTTCCACATACTGGAGAGGGGACAGAAGAGACATGGACGATTGCTCTTCAAGATACACTTGACATGACGCTAAGGGAAAACTCCCCCAGGCCTTCTGTCTGACTGAACAGTAGCTGGAAAAATACTCTCCGGACCAAAAGATTACCATGTGACTAGCTAAATATTCAAATCATAATGTCGCCTCAAATCATTTTGAGGGGGGTGGCAAATATTAAGAGGGGTGGGGAAGATCTGAAGAAGGCATTGTGTAGCAATCACTGTAAACTCTGCTGAAATAAAAGAATGTCCTCTCTTTAATCAGGGGTTAGCAAACTACGGCTCCTGAGAACAAATCTAGCCCATTGTCTGGCTTTAGAAATAAATTTTATTGGAACTCAGTCATAATTGTTCATTTATAAATTGTACATGCCTGCTTTCGAGCTATTACCACAGAAACTGTATGGCCTATAAGATGAAAATATTTACACTCTGGCTCTTTATTAAAAAAAAACACAACAAATTGTTACTCCTGGTCTTAGTTACACATGCCGATGCATTAATAGATATTTGCCAGCTGACAATTGTATTAAAAAAAATGTTAATTCACCACATGGTTATTATCTATCCATAACCCACCCACACAACCTTGAAAATAGAGCAAAGAGGCAGAACTCACCACTGGAGACCAGCCTGAACCACTCTGGTGAACCTGTGCGGACACAAACATCGATGTTCATTTGTATGATGCACCCTGGTCACACTTCACATGCTGAACAAATGTTACGAAGTAAAAAGACAGGTTTCTAAAATACAATTCACCATATTCTACGCTACTCTGGGATTCATTAACAGAACAGAAAGAAGAGGTGAGCAAGTGGGAAATAGGATATATGTATCATCTGATACCTCTTTTCCACAGGTTGGGTTATTCTGAAACCATCTAGGTGCCCAGTCAGGGAAGCAAAGCTACCGGAGTTTAAACACCACTTTGGGCCTGGTATTTTTTACGGTGTAATAGAACTCAGTTGGAGGTTGCTGAGAAACTGCGAGAAATTGTGGAGCAATGAGGTTGCTTGTGGAAAGAGCCCAGAAGTACCACAACAAGATAAAGGTAAATAATCCAATAGAAAAATGGGCACAGGATATGAACAGACACTTCACCGAAGAAGACATTCAGATGGCCAAAAAGCACATGAAGAAATGTTCAAACTCCCTAGCTCTGAGATGCAAATTAAAAAAACTATGAGATATCATCTCACCCCAGTCAGAATAGCAACGTTTAACAGAACAGCAAGCAACAAATGCTGGAGAGGTTGTGGAGAAACTGGAACCCTTATTCACTGTTGGTGGGAGTGTAAAATGGTGCAACCACTATGGAAGATGGTATGGCACTTTCTCAAAAAGTTGCAAATAGAGATACCATTTGACCCAGCAGTTCCACTACTGGGAATATACCCCAAAGAGACCATAACTGACATCCAAGCAGATATATGCACACCCATGTTTATTGCGGCTTTGTTCACAATAGCAAGGAGTTGGAAACAAGCTAAGTGCCCATCAACAAATGAATGTATAGAGAAGCTGTGGTATATTCACATAATGGAATACTATGCTGCATGGAAAAACAAGGAACTCATGTAATATTATTCAAAACAGGTGACCCTGGAGGACACTATGCTGAGTGAAGTATCTCAGTCACAAAAGGACAAATACTGCATGGTGCCACTGTTGTAAAACAGGACTGACATCGGGGCTGGGGGGAGACTGAGAAAGATGGGTTCAATAACGTATACTGTATTGAAACAGATGAGGGAGAAAACTGTTTAAAAGGGATATGTGATTAGGTATTTTTGTCATGACAGGAGTCCAGAGCGAAGGCTGCATAGTGGAGTGGATCTGGGGGAGGGTTTGTAAAATAATGAAATAATTTTTCTTTTACTTTTCCAAGAGGGTAGTGTACTAGGGGGGATGGTTGGGTGGGGAGAAAAGTGCAACAATGAATGAATGGAAATCCAAAGTCTCTGTAAATTTTTACTGAAATTAATAATAAATTTAAATTTTAAAAAAAAGAAAAGAAAAAGCCCAGAAGTGAAGGGACCTACTTGAAAGGGTTGATTAAAAACCTCCCTTGTCCCAAATGTACAGAGGTCAGTTTAGTAGAGGTTACCAGGGATGGAAAGGAGGAAGAAAAGGGGAGTAACTGTTTAGAAGCACTGAATTTTGATTTATGGTGAAAGTGGCAATGGGTATTGGCTATGTCTGCACACAACAGTGGATTATGATACACATTATCTATGTCATTAAACTGTGCATGTGAAAAATGTTTAATTGTCAAATGGTATATTACATGTAATTTTACAAAAAATCTAAAGCTGTCTTGCCAGTAGGAGGCTCATCTCTGTACCTCAAAGCTCAACTCTGCACTGTTTTTCTAAATTTCCATGAAAGTATAACTTAAGAAAAGTCAACTGTTTTTCTTAAAAGCAACTTTTGTTGCTGTTATGTGCCGCTGAGTTGCCTGTGACTCATAGCGACCTTATGTGCAACAGCCCTAAACCCTGCTCTATCCTGTGCCAATCTTATTGTCTCTGACACACTTACCCCAATTACCCCAGTCACCGAATCAATCCACCTCAATCAATCAATCCTCTCCTGCGCTGTCCCTCCACCCTCCCAAGCATGATGTCCCTCTCCAAGGACTGATCCCACCTTATAACATGTCCAAAGTATGTCAGACAAAGCTTCAGAATCCTTGCCTCCAAGGAGTAGCCTGGCTTCACCCTCTCCAGGACGAACTTGTTTGTTCTTCTAGCAGTCCATGGTATATTCAATACTCTTCTCCAGCACCACTGCTTAAAGGCATCAATTCTCCTTCTATCATCCCTAGGCATTTGTCCAGCTCTCTGATGCATGGTAAGTGATTACAAAGACCATGGCCTGTATCAGGCGCACTTTAGTCTCCAGACTGACATCATTGTTCTTCAGTACTTTGGAGGGGTCTCCAACAGCCAATTTTCCCAGTGCAATTTGTCTTTTTAATTTCCTGGCTTCTGGTAACAAGAGTGTTGACTGTAGAGCCAAGCTAACTGAAGCTGTCAACAGTCTCAATCTCTTCACTATGTATCATGATGCTGCCAAGCATCCCAGTGGTGAGAATCTTTGTTTTCTTGATGTTAAGTTTCAATCCATTTTCTTTGATGAAGTCTTACTTTTCTTAATATAGCTTTATTGAGATATAACTTACACACCAACAAACAGTTCAGTGATCTAGAGGAGATGATCAACTCAGCATGTTTTCATAGTTCACTTACATCCTAGACCAGGTCAGGATTTTGTCTTCATGGTTAGGTAATATTCCATTGCATTAGCCATCACCTGCCTTCCCTCAAAGAGTGTTTTCCTGCTTCATTCACTGGTGTATCCTCGGCACCCAGAAGTGTCCAGCAAGTAATTAAAATATGAACTAATCTGGAAGCTCATAGCACATTTTAGTCTTTGAGACCAAGCTTCAATGTGTTTTCCTTGGGGACTCTTCTCTTTGGGCTGCTTCTTGCTGTCCCCAAAGGAGCAACCAGTGTTGTCCCAGCCCCCACCCATGTCACTCACTGGCCTCAGTCTCAGTTCCCCAGGGGAGACCACAAGGGCAGAAACATTCCCTGGCTTTCAGAGCACAGAGACTTTGCAAACCCTGGCCTAGCTTTCCCAGTCAGAGCTAAATTTCCTTACCTTACTTCTGCATTTCACTTATTGTTTCCCTTCCCCTAAGTAACCCTGCTCAGAAGGTTCTGATGAACTTTTTATCTAATGCCCCCTCTGAACTCACAGCTATTCTGAGAGCAAACAGAGGACCAATGAGTTGGTCATTAAATGGATTTCACTGGGCACAGACACTCCTGGGCTCAGCTTACCTTTTGGTTCTCTTTCATAGTGTATTGCTATAAAGTTAATAGTAAGAAAATATTTTTAAATACGACAATTACCTGTTCTCCTTCCAATCCCATTATTTTGGGAATTGATGGCCCACATATATCAATGTCCAGAAGTGCGACCTGGAGAACAAGAAGAGATTGGAGCAGTTATATAAGTTCTGGGGACAGGGCGGGGGACGGGGGCAGGGAAAGACAGCAAGAAATCAGGCCAGATCTGGTGCAAACCAATTTCACAGAGAGTCAGAGCAGTGATAATATTTCCCTTCCAGAACTTAAAGGCCCAGAATGCCTTAAAAAGAACAGATCCTACCTAAAAGTAGGATTACGGACACTGACCCTACTGAACCTGGCTTAGCTCTATGGGGCCTTATGGCCTGGGTCTCAGAGACCATGCTCAACTGTTTACAGCAGGCACCAACCAGGCATTTTCATGAGTGAGTTTACTTATTACCTATTGCTATGAGGTGTCATCCAGTTGACTCTGACTTGAAGCAAATCTGTGAAGATGTGAGCGCTCCTATCCTGTGCCACCTTGACTCCCTGACACACCTGAGGCCGTCATTACAGTCACTGTGTCCATTCATCTGGCTGAGCATCCCCCTCTTTCACTGACCCTCCGCCTTTCCAAGCATGACATCTTTTCCCAAGGACCAGCCCCTCCTAAGGACATGGCCCAAGCATATGAGGCGAAGTACCACCACCATCCTTGCCTCTAAGGACCACCCAGACGCACTTTCTCCAAGACATAACTGTTCTTTGGGAAGTCCCTGGGATATTCAGCACTCTTCTCCAATATCACAACTCAGAGGCATTGATTCTCCTGTCATCATTATTCAATGTCCAACTTTCAGATGCACAGCAAGTGATTGAAAGGCCCACGGCATTTCACTGCACCTTAGTCTTAAAACTGACATTGTTGCTCATTGCTATGTTGCATTCTCCCAATGAAACATGTCTTTTGACTTCTTGACTGCTGGTACCAAAGGTGTTGACTGTGGACCCATGTAAGATGAAATCGTTGACAATCTTTTCTCCGTCTCTCATTTATTGCCTTGGGAGTGGGAATCATTTTCTCTACAGAGGAAAAAACAGAGGCTTAAAGATGCTCACTGACTTTGTCAATAAGCAAGAGGCAGAGCTGTGAAATAAATCAAGGTGGCCTAGAACCAAAGCCAGGTTCTCTGCACATTCCACTGGCCCTCCGACCAAACCGCTGTCCTGTGATTGTGAAGGTTAGAGGGGGATGAATAAACTTTCAAAACAGAAACTGAAATAAGAAGGAATTTCACATGTCTCCTTCCATACTAGACACCCTGCTTTTCCTCATCTGACCAATAAATAAGACAGCTCAGCAACCTTTTAAAAGTGAGCAGAGCTAGTATTCATCTCAAGTCCTGTAATATCTTCAATCCAAAGTGCAGCGCCTCTGGGGAACTTTCTGGCTTGCCAGAAGTCAGTTTCTTGTTTCCCTCTTCAATCCTCTCAGCAAACCCAACCCCCTACTTCCTCATTAGGCAGAGATCTACCTGCACTTTTAAAAACCTGCACTCATCAGTCGTTTGCTTTATGCGCCCTCTGCTGGCCATTAGAAGAGCAAATACAAACATTCAACCTGACAACTTCCTTCTAGATCTTACTATTGGAGGGATGATGTGGGGTACTAATAATTCACAAACATTTTCCGTCAGAGATTCATGATCTGAGAAACTGTACCCACCATTACATCCCTGATAATGCTGCCAATGCTTTGCCTCCATGACACTTTCATTTGGGAATAACCAAATTGGTTTCCTTTTGAAGAATGACAGCCCTTAGAGCTCAGAGAATTCCATGGTAGAGCAAATGATTAAGTGCTGGTCTACTAGCCAAAAAGTCAGTGGTTCAAAGCCACCCAGAGGCACCTTAAGAGACCGGCCTGCCAATTTCCTTCCAAATCACAGCCTTGAACGCTCTATGGAGCAACTCTACTTTACTCATGGGGGGTGGGGGTGGGAAGTGTTGCCCTGAGTTGAAATTCATTCAGTGGTAATTAGCCACAGAACCCAGATAGCGAAATCTCGAATAAAAGTGCACCTATAACCATACTAACCGCTGCAGAGTCTATTCCAATTGATAACAGATATCAACCCTGTAAGACAGGGTAGAACTGCTCCCTTGGGTTTCTGAGATTATAAATATTTACAGGAATATATTGCCTCATCTTTTTCCTGCAGAGCACTTGGTAGGGTAGAATTAGTGGCCTTTTGGTTAATATCCCAATGTTTAACTCACTGTACCACCAGAGCTCCTATGCCAGCCACCTAGCCAACACAAATTGGAGCCTCAAAACATGAGAGATTGTTGACTAATAGAACAATGATGCTATAAGGAGATTTTTAACCTGCTCAGCCCAAGTTCTAAAATCACTATCTGTAAAACAGCAAAGTTTGTTTTCTCTAGGAGAACAAACAGGCTGCTCTTTGGAGGCAAGGATTCTGAAGCTCCATGTGACATAACTTCAGGCATGTTGCAAGGAGGGCCCAGTCACTGGAGAGAGACATCATGCTTGGAAGGGTGGAGGTATAGTGCAATTGACGAAGGCCTGGATGAGCTGGACTGACTCAGTGACTGGTGTAATGGGGTGGCACAAGACAAAACAGGATTCAGAGCGGTTGTACATAGAGTCACTATGAGTTGCAAGTGGCTTGATGGCACTTAGTAACAAAAAAAGTATATATATAAAAATATAAATATATATAAATGTAAACGTGGCAGCAGGATTGGAAGAAGACTCATTAACAATCTGCGTTATGCAGATGAACCCTGCTTGCTGAAACTGAGGAGAATTTGAAGTGCTTGCTGCAGAAGGTCTGTTAGCCTACAATATGGATTGAGGCTCAATGTCAAGAAGACAAAGATTCTCACCACTGGGCCAATTGGCAGCATCATGATAGATGGTGAAGAGAGTGAGATTGTTCACAGCTTTAGTTTGCTTGGCTCCACAGTCAACACTCTTGGCACCAGCAGTCAGGAAATTAAAAGACGTATTGTGATGGGAAAGTCTGCTGTTAGGGACCTCTCCAAAGTACTGAAGAACAACGATGTCAGCCTGGAGACTAAGGTGCGCCTGATACAGGCCATGGTCTTTGCAATCACTTGCTACGAATCAGAAAGCTAGGCAATGACTAGAGATGATAGAAGGAAAATTGATGCCTTTGAGCTGTTGTGTTGGAGAAGAGTGTTGAACAGACCATGAACTGCCAAGGGAATGAACAGGATCATCCTGGAGAGAGTGTGACCAGGTTGCTCCTTGGAGGCAAGGATTCTGAAGCTAAGTCTGACATACTTTAGACATGTTGCAAGGAGGACTAGACCTTGGAGAGGGACGTCATGCTTGGGAGGGTAGAGGGACAGCACAGGAGAGGAAGCCCCTCTGTGAGGTGGACTGATTCAGTGACTGGGGTAATTGGGGGTCAGAGACAGTGAGATTGGCACAGGACAGAGCAGGGTTTAGGACTGTTGTACATAGGGTTGCTAGGAGTCGCAGGCGACTTAATGGCACATAACAACAAAAAAAATATATATATGTGTGTGTGTGTATATATATATGTGGGTCTCAGTGACTTCTCCTTGCCAGAGGGAGCATGGTGGTGTGAGCGCAGGAATTATATAGCAAGTCGAGTTATTTGGAGTTGAGTCGAGCTGAGTGCTTTTCTGGGCTTGTGTTTGACATCAAGGTTTGCTCTGCCCCCAGGAGCGAAGCAAGCCAGGCTTGGCCTAGGGTTTAAGGCAGGAGGTGGCCTTAAGCCCAAGGGCCCTCAGGCAGGTTCAAACTGTTCTCCTGTCAAACATTCTTCTAGGTGGTATAGCACTGCTCTGTGGGTTGCTGTACAGAGGTAACTCGTGGTTGCTGTGATGTGAAGACTGTGACAGTGATGAGCCAAATGTGGTAATGGGTACCCATGGTGGACAGTGCTGGCTGAAGCTTCCCGACTAAATCAAGCCTGGAAGCAGGAGCGCCATCCACTTCCGAAATGGCTTGCCTCCAGAAACTCTATGTACAAACAGTGAGTGCTCAGGCCTTTCATTCATAGGGTCGCTATGAGTCGTCTACGACTCGACGGCACCTAACAACAACATATATGTGTGTGTGTATATATATATGTATATGTATATGTATATGTATATGTATATGTATATAATTACCAAACAGAGACATTTGCTGCAGAAGGTCTAGGAACGTACCCCTTCACCTGGCAGCTGTACTTGGCACTTCTCGGGTGGTTTCAATTAACCATCTGCTATGTAGGAAAATGATGTACAATCTTCTATGTGATTTAGTGTCACTGAAAACTCACTGGAGTGTCAGTTATAAGTTGACTCTGACATGATGGCACAGAGTTGTTTTATAAGATTACCATGGGGATTTAGGGAGCTGTGGTGGCCTAGTGGTAAGAAGCTGTACACACTGCAATTCCAATAGTTCAATCCACTTGACAGCACACATCATCAACATGCCCCTTGTTATGTGTTGGAATTCCCTGGTATTGCCAACAGTTAAAGCATTTGATGCTAACCAAAAGTTTGGCAGTTTGAATCCTCCTAAAACTCCAGCCACTGACAACTGTGTGGAGGACAGTTTTACTGTGACTGATAGGGGGCTGCCATGAGGTAGAACTGAGTCACCATCCGCTGGTGCTGGTGCTGGGCGCTGTGCTACTGCTTTACACACCTTCACTCCAAAAATCCCATTCAGTCCTCCAGGTGCCATCTGTAGATGAGGAAACCTGTGCAAGGTCACAACCCTGGGATGGGGTAGGTGGAGTGCGCACCTGGACAGTCAGTCTAGGCCTGTGTCTCAGTCATAGCACCGCACTGTGCGCCCACTGCTCCCCAGTCCCACGTGTGAAACCCGAGTTCTGATTCCCGCTCTTGCCCAAAAGATTGTGAGGCTCCCTTTCCTCCACTTCGGCCTCTGCCCTCAGCTGTTCCTGACCCTTTTGTTCCACCTACTACCCTCATTCTAACCCTTCTGGTCTTTAATGGAAACAAAAGCAACAGCTAACTGGGTTACCATCATGCTCTGAGGGACACCCAATCACACTGAATGACCACAGCAATAGTCCGAAAACATTCAATTATGTTCCATCCACTGGTCTTTACACAGTATTCCAAGGGCCCCACTGGGCTTCACCTCCTGTTTGATTCCAGTATCCACTGTACACTGCCCTCCCTCCAAATCTCTTGGGAGCCTCTCTTCTGTGCCTCTGCCTCCTCTTCCCCCACTCTCACCCCCACCCCATCAGTCCTTGTCTCAGGTCACAGCCGCAGGGTCCTGCCCAGGTTCTCCCTGCCAGCCATCTTTCTCAAATTCCTAGAGGACATCCTGGATGGCACATACCACATACCTACAATCACAATGTACCTCACACATTCTACAGAGAATCCCTTCTCAGCTGCCTGACAGACCAGAGGCAGCCTGCGGCTTATACACAATGGCTATGAAATGACCAGTTCAGAAATGAGTTGTAGGGAGGAATTCAGAAATCAAGTAAGAGCAACACAGAGGCTTTACAGATTCCCTTGAATGGCCTCCACATTGTCCTTGAAAACAAGTGCCCTCCCAAGATACAATTCTCCTCCAAAGAAGACCTTCTCCAGCAACAATGCCTATGAGTTATAAACCAGATCAAATCCACAATCTATATATAGTCCATGGGTCATATACTGTCTGTACCCTGTTACTGTATAGCTTATAAGTCATAAACATTTTTAAGTTTGCTGTTGTTACGTGCTGTTGAGTTGACTATGACTCACTGCAACCCTATAAACAATGACTGATGTTTGCTCTATTCTGAGCCAATCTTCCTAACACCATTTTCAACACACATGTCTCCATTGCCACACTCTCTGAATCAATCCATTTCATCAAGGTTCTTTCATAAATGATCTAGAATGCTTCAAAGGAAAGGAGAAGGAATATATGGAGTCATTGTTCCAAAAAGAATTAGCTGACACAAAACCATTTCAGGAAGTAGCGTCTGATAAAGAACCAGTGGTAATAAAGGAAGAAGTTCAAGCTGCTCTCAAGGCATTGGTAAAAAGCAAGACCTCAGGAATTGCTGGAACACCAACACACATATTTCAACAAACAGTTACTATCCTGGACATGCTTAACCGGTTGTGCCAAGAAATCTTGAGGACGGCTACCTGGCCAATTGACTACAAGAGATTTATATTTATCCCCATTCCCCCCCAAAAAAATGTGATCCAATAGAATATGGAAATTATCAAACAATATCATTAATATCACATTAAAGTAAAATATTGTTGAAAACCATCCAAATATGACTAGAACAGTACATCCATAGAGAACTGCCAGAAATACAAGCTAGTTTTAGAAGAGGCCACGTTACTAACTAAGGAAATCACTGTTAACATCAGATGGATCTTGGCTGAAAGCAGGGAGTACCAGAACGATTACCTATTTGTGCTTTATCAACTGTGCAAAGGCATTTGTGTGGAAAATAACAAACTGTGGGTAACACTGAGAAGAATGGGAATCCCAGAAGACTTGATTGTGCTCGGGCAAAACCTATATCTAGACCAAGAAGCTGCTGTCCAAATAGAGCATGGGAACATTTTATGGTTCAAAAAAAGTCAAGAAAGGAGCTTAAGGTTGGGGGAGGGGGAGCCCAATCAAAGAATAATTCCATTTCATGATACGTGAAATGATCTGAAATGCATTTACAGTGACAACAAAGCTTTACCAGCACAGTTCACTTGTTCGTGTACTGTCTGTGGCTGGTTTTCACTCTAACAGTAGGACTGAAGAGCTGAAACAGAGATAATACAGCCCTCAAAGCACAAAATATTCACTATCTGGGTCTTTATAAAACACCACCACCAACAACAAACCTGCTGACCTCTAAACTAATTTCTTTTAAAAAATAGGTTTCTAAAGTTCTTTGCTACCAATGATATATCTCTGGGTCACTGTGGGGTTTTTTCATGGGACTTTTACTGAGGTTCTATCTGAGTGGTGGTATATTCTTGGTCTCCGCTGCTCACTCCAACAGTCTGGTCAGTTTTTTCTTTGGTTTTGGTTATGCTTTTAAAAAAAAAAAGAAATAAATAAAAATACTGCTGTGAGCAGTTAATTCATCCTCAAAAACTATATGGTAGCATGTGCTCCTTGTTAAAGTGAGACAGCTCCAGTACATGTGGTTTTATTAAATGTAAAATGGCATTTAAGAGAGAGCGGGCTCATTTTCTGCACTTGATGCAAAATTATGAGTTTCTAATAAGGTCAATTGTTAAGATCACAATTGTCACAAATTTCCATTTAACCTTTTTGACAAAAAAGAATTGTCTCTCTTCCTTTTACCATTTTGCCCTTTGTTAAAATGGAGATCCAAGGCAGCAGCAGGCAATCTGAATTTTCATCTGTTTATCTGTACAGAAGAGAGTATCCTCGTGCTGAAGTCTACACCCTTGCTCTTTGTTAGCCCAAAAGAAAAAGAAAAAAAAAATTTTTAGACTTTGCAGGCCAAGAGGCAAAAGCGCATTTATATGTCAAAGTTAAAAGTCATTGCCCTGGAATCGGAACCAACTCACAGCTGACCCTCCACCAGGTGTCTGAGGCTGTAAACCGCACAGGAGAACGCTCCTTTCTCCCTCAGTGCAAGTGGATTAGAATCTCTAAGAGAGGCATGGCTTTTGGGTTGGCACCATTATATAGACAATAATAAAACAATTTCTCTTAAAATGTAAAAATAAATCTCATCTCATAGGATAGACAGAAGAGACCTGCTCAATTCGGTTCCCAAATCCTTGACCCCTAACCTACAGAAAGGCAGCAGGGGGTTAATAAAGAGAAAGCCGTCTGAACTTCATGTACTACAAGGGATATACAGTGTTGTTTCTACAGCTGTTGTTGCTATGTGCCATAGAGCCAGAACCGATTCACAGACTGCCTTGTTGGTTTTCAGAAACTGTAAACTATATGGGAGGAGAATTTTCTCCCACAAAGCAGTGGGTGGATTGGAACTGCCTGCCTTTGATTTAGATGGCAACTCTTTATAGCTAGGCCACCAGAGTTCATTTGCACAGCCAAAGAATCCAAGTAAGTGCTTTAATCTTTCTGCTTTGTTGTTGTTGTATACTGTGGAATAGGAAATGACCCACAGCTGACGTTCTGGCGGGTTTTCAGAGGCAGTTAATCAGACGTGAGGAGATTGCCCAACCCTCTCCCACAGAGCTAGAGCAACTGGTGGCCTTGGACTATGTTGCAGCCAAACAGTTAACACAAACATGGGAGGAGACTGCCCAACCTTCTCCCATAGAGCAACTGGTGGCCTTGGACTATGTTGCAGCACAGTTAACACAAACATGGGAGGTTTAAGTCCACCAAAAGCACCTAAGAAGAAAATACTGGTAAACTACTGAAAAATCAGCCCCTGAGAACCCTACAGAGCCCACCCCAACTCTGACACACATACGTGCTGGACTCCACCCAATAGCCACTGCTGTTCCTCCACAACAGCTCTTGTTCCTGCTGGGATCTAGATGTCAAGGAGGTCATTAAGCCTCAACTAAGGAACCAGCTCGCAAAAGTCCTCCCCAACCCTCAGACCAAAGAGTAGTTCCCTGTTTCCCCTGATGTCCCACCTGTGTGTTTTCATCCTCTGCCAGGCCGTGGGCGAGGTGGGCACTGAACGTGCTTTTCCCGACACCGCCTTTCCCAGACAGCACCAAGATCTTGTGTTTCACGGTTTTCATTTTCTCTTTGATTTCCTCTATGGCTGCAAAGAAAGCAGTTTAAGCAATAAAGTCCCTGAATACACATTTTCCAGCAGGACAGAAAGAGCTAAGACCTTGGGGCAGTGTGAAACCAGCCTTAATGATCAGTGTCTGATGGCCTAGTTCCCAGGGAGCTGCAGTTCTAACCCAAAGGCAGAGCCTCACCTGTGGCTCCATGGGGGCAAGATGGGTAATCTCTTCTTGTGCAATATTCAGCCCGAGGAGGCTGCTGGAGGGTCAGCTACGAGTTAGTTCAGACACTGTGGCAATGAGTGAGTGGGAGTTATGAGAACAGCATCAATTGTGAAGCTAGTGCAAGACCAGGCAATTTTTCCTTTGGCTACACACAGGGTTGCTATGAGTCAGAAGTGACTCAATGACACATAAAAGGAGTGCTATTAATAATAAAAAAAATTTTTTAAAGGCTATTCTTACCACTTTCTATTTTCTTATTTACATTTATTTTTGTCTCCTCTTACTAGAATACGATGTTCCCAAGGGTGTAGACTCTAGGGGAATGCTGAATTTGCTGCTCTAGAATAGAACTTCCTGGGAGAGAACATGTCTACAAATGTAATTTTCTGAGGTGAGGAGAAGGTGCTACTAGCATCTCTTAAAGGCCAAGGATACTACTAAATATCCTCCAACACACAGGGCAGTAAGGAACAGAAATGTCAACAGTGCTGAGTCTGTGACCCCCTGACCAACCCCAAACTCACGATTTTCCAAGTTGATTCTGCCCCCAACAACCCTACTGGGAAGGGTAGGACTCCCTTATCAAGTTCCTGATGACCCTTTTTGGTTGGCAGCCCATTGTTTAACCTGTTACACCACCAGGGCTTTTTCCCTGACAAACAGTAGACACTTAATCCGTATCTGTCACTGACAAAGGAGTCTTAGTGGTGTAGTGTGTATTGTCTTGGGTTGCTAAGCTCAGTGGTTGAAATCCACTAGCAACTCTGCAGAAGAAAGATGGCTATTTCCTCCTATTAAGATTTACAGCTTTGGAAATGAGGGTGACCAGGAGTAGGACAGAACTAAATGGAGCAGGTTTAGCTGTTCATGGATAAATATTCTTTACGGTTCACGTTATTGTGTTTCCAGTAGCTAGCTGCAAGGCTGGTAGTGTAAACCCACCAGAAAGCTACTGAAGTCTGGTTCCATCAAGATTTATAGCCTTGGAAGTCCTATGGGGTTGTTCTCCTCTGTCTTTTAGAATTATTACGAATCAAAATTGACTGACAGTTAATATGCTTCAAATACCTCAATTCCTTACAAAACTATGGAAGTACTTATGTTTATCCCCATTTTCAGTGAGGGAACTGAGGCTCTGAGAGGTTGAGTCCTGTGCTCATGATCACAATGGTTGCTGAGGGTCCAAGAACCAAAGGCAAGTCTTTCTTTGAATGTGTTTCAAGTATTCTCCCAGCCTTCTGCTTTTTAAGTTGCTTCTACTGAGGAAATGTGTCCTGGAAGCACAGTGGTTATGCACAATGGTAATTCTCAGCTGCCAATCAAAAGGTGGATTTGAGTTTACCAGAACTATGCATGAGGGAGGGAGGGGAGGGGAGGAGAAATATATATCTATATAAAAAACAACAACAAACTACATATCTATATCTATCTATCTATATGCATACATATATGGCAGCTTGCTTCTAAATAGCCCACAACTTTGAAAACTCCATGGGCAGTTTTACTCTGTTCTACAGGGTTACTGTAGAATCAACTTAAAAGCAATGGGTTTGGGATTTAATGGCAGTGGGTTTGAGGTTTTATTATCTAGGAAAGTCCCCAGACTCCTCCTCACCTTTGAGCTCTTTCTTGCAGTGTTTGTCACTGCAGTGATTTTTCTTATGAGCCTAAACTAAAAGAGCCCTGGTGGTGTAGTGCCTAACATGTTGACCAAAAGGGGAGCAGTATGAATCCACCAGCCACTGTTTGGGAGAAAGATGGGCAGTCACAGTCTCTCCTTCTGCTAAGATTTACAGCCTCAGAAACCCAAAGGAGGGTTGCTAGGAGATAGAAACTCAATAGCTGAGGTTTTGGGGTTTATTAAACTAAGGTCCTGTTGGGAAATGCTGTGTCTGTTTCATTCACATCTGGATCCCCAGCACTGTGCCTACTGACTGATAAATTCAGGCAGATCTCATTTAAATTGTACTTCGCTTTACTTAGCTTTGCTGGTATTGCATTTCGCACAAGCCGAGGATCTATGGTAATCCTCATCGAACAAGTCTGCTGGAGCCATTTCCTAAAAGCATGTGCCCACTTGGTGTCTGTGACACATTTTGGTAATTTTCACAATTATTTCAAAGTTGTTTATAGTGCTATCGCACACTTAACAGACTATGGTATAGAGTAAGCATACTTTTTATGTGCACTGGAGCATGGAAAAAAAGTGTTAACTTGCTTTATTGTAGTATTTGTTTTTCTGAGGAGGCTGGCAACCTAACTTGCAACATCTCTTGAGGTCTGCCCTGTACAGATGACTAATGAATGAATGAGGCAATCTTTCCTTACAAGGAAGAAAATTTTGTTCAAAGGTAACAGCGAGGAAGTCGTTGGTGGAGCCACGATTTAAGTCTGGGGTCTCTCCTGTCTTTAAAGTTTCTTCCTCTCAGATTTCCTCCAATGATCTTGTCAGTCAAACTTTTGGCTTCGCGCCCTGCCCTCATTTCCATGGACTTTTTTTTTTCACTGAAAAGATTTCTTTTTTATTTATTGCAAAAAAAAAAAATCTCTTTGCTGATGGAAACCATAATATAGTAAATGAAACGAACACAATAATGAGTTTCCTTATCAGTGAAATAGACTATTTTTAAGATTTGGCAAGCCAAACCTTTTGAAAATAGCAAGCATTACCAAAACTCTTTGACTTCTTGTTAGAGATGGATACTTTTCCAAATGACACTCTAGCAAACAAAGTTACATTTAAACTACAAGCAGAACAAAGATCAGAGAAACAATATTATTTACAATGAGTGGAGCAGGGGAGGCAGAACAATCTCAATTTTGTTCAAGGGCAAAATGATAGAAGTTTAATTATAGATGCATGTGCAAATCATTACAGAATAAAGGGTACTCGACTTTTAAAATAGGTACTAAAATGTCTCGTCATGTTTCTCCACACCAGTGCAAATGCCTTCAGATTAGACCAGGTGTTAGAGAGCTCTGGTGGCCTATAGGCAAGAAGCTGCCCTGCAAGCCCACAAGTTAGACCAGGTGTCACCACTGACGGTGATTAAGCCCACGAGCATGTTTGTTAAGTCTGGAGAGTTTTGGTTATTATAACTCGGGAAAGGAGCAGGGGAGGTGATAGTTGCTATTAGAATCTAATGTGTAGAAATCCTGGCTGCTGCTAAATATTCCACAATGCACAGGTGTGTGTCTTTCATGGCCTTTTTTTTCTTCTCCAGTCTGCTCTAAACATGCTCCCAGGTCTGACGCCTGTCACTCATCCTCCAGGTCCCACCCCCTCTAGCACCGCCTCTTCCCTGACGCCCCGCCTCTTCCGGCCCGTGCCTTCCACTTCCCGCTCTGGCCTTTCCCCTTCCTCACCCGGGTCCGGGGCGGCGCCGGCTCCAGAAGCGCACAGCCGCTGGTTAGGGCACCCTTGACATGAGGCCCCTCGGCCCGCTTGAGCGCTGCCAGTCCCGGGACAGTCTACGCGGACACAAAATCATAGTTAGAATAGCTCCTGTCCCTTCAGTCCCGCCACCCATGTCGCCTCCGCGCGCTCACCCTGGGGCACCTCCTCCATCCCGCCGCTTAGACGCCAGTACGGTTACCGGAACCTGCCGGTGGGCATTTCCGCTCGCGCGACACCCAATCTGACCCTCCACCTTCGTGAAAAAAGTCTCGGAAGTGGAGGCCTGTGCGCATGCGCAGATCTTGTGCTTTGTGGGCGGGGTTCTTTTCCTTTAGACTAGTTGCAGGTGACAGACTAAATGTATCTCCGAAGAACAGAGGTGCGATCCTAACCCCAAAGCCCTTTTCTTACTCAAGAAATTTAATACATTTTTGTCTTCAAACATTTTAGTTTTATGTTTATATTTAACATGTTGTTGTTGATTGCCGTTGAATCTAGAGCGAGTCTCAGCGACTCTATGAACAAAAGCTCTAATGCCTTCTCATAACTATCGTCATATCACCAAGTTCATAGAGTTTCCAGAGGCATGTGATTTAGGAAGAGGATGCCACTTCTGCTTCCAAACCTGTTTTACAACTGGGAGCTCCACCAAATACTGTCCACACTGGAAAGCCATTCTGGTATTTCATACCCCAGTGGTACAAGGTTCAGTATCACAGCAACCCAGGTTACTTCATAACTGCACATCGACAAAAAGTGATGTACAAAGTGGAAAATGTCAACATTGTTTACATTCAAATTTCTCCAGTTGTCCCAAATAAGACTCCTCAGTTGCCCACGCCCAGACCCCTTATCTTAGATGTACTCAAGGATTACACGTTGGTCTTCTTTGTAACCATGTTTCTTATTTATCTACATTTATATATATATATCCAGAATACTTCCCTACCCCCTTTTTTCGCCCGTCTTTGAAGCTACTGTTAATTTTGCTTAGTCCCAGCCCCTTGTCTTGTAGATTCTTCCATAATCTAGATTTGTCTGATTTCCCTCCCTGGGTTAGATTCAAATTCAGTGGGTTTTGTAGGAGGACGCCTGGGTATTGTGGACATGCTGTTGTGTCACAGCGCAAATGGTTCTATTTTGGTGATGAGAAAAACAACGACCTTCCATAGGGATTCCGAGGCTGTAAACCTTTATGGGAGGAGGTTGCCCATCTTTCTCCTCAGGAGCTGCTGATGGATTCAAACTGCTGGCTTGATGAGCAGCCGGATACCTCACACACGACGGCGACCATCCTTTGGTGATGAGAAGCTTGGACATTTTATAATGACGCTGTGAAATGCTTCTCATCTGTCGGTGAGGAGAAGCTTGATCGTTTTAGACAGATGTCGTTGAGGAGTGCCTTAAATAGATTGACTCATAGTGTCCCTATTGGACAGAATAATACTGCCCCCATGCGCTTCCCAGGCTGTAATTATTATGGGACTAGAACACCAGGTCCTTCTCTAGAGCAGTCACTGGGTTCGAACACCAACCTTAAGATTAGTAGCCGCGCACTGACCACTATACCATCCAATCTCCTTTTGGTAAAGGTTTGCCCCAAGTTCTCCACTGTAACCAACATGAACTCCCTGGTCTCACCAGTCTTTGTACCGTGTCAGGAAAGATTTGTCGATTGCTTTTCAGATTTTTCATCCTAGGCGTTCACTGCATTGGGAAAGTCAGCTGTGA